AAAAGATTTCCAGATTTATCACTATACAGCAATAATAATAAAAATATAAATATTATAATAATAATGAGTGATTATAAGATTATAAATGTCATAAAGATGGTATATTACATTGAATATTGTTGCCATTCTGTCATTTTCGAGTCACCTATTCTGATGGCAGCCGCTCTAAGAAATTCATGGTTTTTTAATATGTTTAACTGAATTTTACTATATGGATTCCAAGTTTTGTTAGGACTAATATAAGATTGTCCATAATGTGTTTTACTGGTGATTTTGTAGAGTTTTAATGTTAATAAATCGATCTTAATAATTTTTACAAAATATTTACGTATGACATAAATTATTGTAATACACACCTTAGACTGTTGCCACTCCAGTCAATTACCTGCCCCCATTCTTCATAAGTTGTAGGATCGGAAGAATTTATAGCTACAATATAATTTACTAGAATAAACTGTTCTCGTAAAGGATATATTGTAATAGGATTCACTAAATTACCAAGTGTATCATTAATTATACAAAAATTCACTGGATCAAAATTTAAATTGGATTGTGAATTGATTTCGATAACCGATCCATTTAATTGAATAACTCTTATCCGTAATATTGGTTCTAAGTTCAGTCCTGAACAATTGAAATTGGATGTTTTTGCTGATGCCGATATATTTCGTGCAACATGAACAAGAGTTGTTCCGTCATCATAAGTTTGAATGTTTAGTACAAGAAAGTCACTGTAAGCGTATTTGCCTGAGATACTCTCTGTGTAATTAAAGTAATTAAATTGTGATGTTGTTGATGTTATGAGTAAACAAATGAATATAAAACTTATATATTGTGCTAAAGGGTTATAAAGAAGACTAAATAATTTCATTGTTGAATTATTTCGTATGAAGAAAGATTTAAAGTTAAAATTGAATATATACGTCTATCGCCGCTTACAGTATCCCCCCTAAAAATAATACCCATTATTAAGATTTGGGTATTATTCACTATCCCTACCTGCCCATTTCTTGAATAAGGCATTAAATAGCTATATATTTTAATATAATATGTAGTATGTACGTAGTACATAGCTCTTCACACAATGCCCCCACAGGTATTATTCAAAATTAAAAATCTCGAATAAAACATCGGTAGCGTAAGCAGTGGCTAACTGTGCATTTCATTATTAGATAATAACATAAATTCACGACATGTTAACTGCTGGTTTTTTTTTTTTTTTTTTTAGTTTAGTTTAATAGTATATGCATCTATTTTTATTTTGGGAATTTAATTGTTTTCGGCAAATACAGAGATAAAGCAATATTTATTTATTTAGTTTTTTTTTTTTAGATGCGATGGTTTCATTGGATTTTATTGGCCAAAAAAAATTGTTGTACGAAAATCATCCCACTTTTATTTTGCGTTGAAATTATCATTCATATGATTAACGCCAAGAGAAAATCTTTGATCATTTACTTCTTTAATAAAAATATCTTAAAATTAAAACTTTATTATGTTAAAATCAGGTATTTCCTAAATTATTAGCATTAATAAAGACACTTGAAGTCAATAATTTTGATTTCTGTTACATGTTGCGGCAACAAAAAGGTGTAAGTATAGATATTACCGATTAAATATGCAATTAAAATAATTTAGAATCACTGATATTTCTACTATCATCAAGGAATTTAAAGACAATCTATATAAATTAATGTAATGCAAAAACCAACAAGTACATACCCTATAAAAAAGCTTTTGTTTTTGTTCGTTTTTTCTCTTTGAATAATTTCATAAAAGATGAATGAATAAGTGTACATTATTGGACAGACGACAAAAAATGACAGGAAATTTTTTTTTCAACGGAGTTATTGTCATTCTATGTGCTACGCAGCACATGAGTGAAATTAACTCCGTTGAAAAAAAAAATTTCCTGTTATTTGTCGTACGTATGTTGTAAAAGGCAAGATCGCCCTTTCCAAAAAGTTGTTGCTGTGGGGTAACCGGTAATACGAATTCCTGGAATTCCAAGAATTCCTAGGATACGGGTAATTCAAAGAATAGTGAGAATAACTAGAATAACGAGAATAATTAGAATAATTAGAATTATTAGAATTCGCGTTATTCCTGCATAAGTAAAAATCTATTATATAAGTGGAGGTTTCCTCCAGAAATAAAACATAGCTCGCAGAGTTCGAAACCTTCTAGGTCTTGAATAGAAGTGTTTGTCTCTAATAAGTTCCTTAAATAAACTTTCTTTTGATTGTCCCCGTGACTATCGTATTCTTGATTTTCGTATTGCATAAGAAAGAGAAAGAATAGCGATTAGTAATCAGACCCTTTATATATTAAACGTAAATTGATTATTAAAAATCGATACCCACGTAAACTGATCTGGATCGTGACCCCGTGACCACGTGATATCGTAAATCGAATTCAGTGCCGCAGCAACCCCTAACGAAAGAAGAAAAGTACTATTAAAGTAAAAGGAAAAGCGATTAAATCACAAAACGAAAGTGAAAAGACACTTATCTAAGCACAACACTATTCGTATCAACCCAATTAACCCTGGTTACTTGATCGTTGTATTACCAATATTAGGGTTTGGTTAAAGTAGTTTTAGTGTTCTGGTTAGGGTAATTTAGTTAGTATTGGTATAGTGAGTAGAATATATATCGACCCAGTAACTTTTCCGACGCAGCTTGCACTTTCACATTGTTCAAAATGATGTTATCCGATAGTTAATATGACCATGTGAAGTTTTTTTGTGATATTTTGCAAAACTGATTACGTAATTTCATGCAAAAATTATCATGGCAAAAAAATTCACATGATCATATGAAATGCCGGATTAAATTCTTTATAGGGTACATTTTTATTTACGCTGATAATTTAAATATTTACAATCTATGCATTTATCGATGCTAATAATTTAGGCGCTGAATCACTTGAAAATCGTTTCATAGACAATCTCTTCACAGACGCAGACGATTAATTCACAATTTATAAAAGATTATCTTACAGACGATCAATTCAAACATTTTCACGTCGGTTTTGGTTATGTCGATCATGTGGCGTATTAATGCGCCGCATAATGTGTATAACATTCAATTAGCCAATTAAAAGTTGAGATCTTCATAGGCACGTTGACTAATGATCCTTAACACTTTATCAAAAGTTTCTCAACGACAAAATTGATGAAAATGTTTTTATTTTAATGCTATAAACTTATAGAATTAAGATAAAAAATATATATTGATGTAAGTCCCGCAGTTATCGAGAAATCATCTAAACTTTAAAAAAAATATCTTAAAAAAAATCGCACACCAACATTCTGAGCCATCAATTGAAATTTTGAAGATATTTGGTATTCGTTTTCCCAGAAAATAAACTTTAGATGATGAAGATATCTTAACAATCATTTGACAAATTTCAATAAAAAGTTTTTTATTGGAATTCTATAAATCTGTATAATTAAAGTAAAAAAAAAAAAAAATTCATCGAATTTGGTAAGGTGGTCGTCTAGATATCTTTGCTCAAAGTGAAGAAAATTCAAACATCTATCAAAATAAAAGCTGCAGCAGATTATTTTTAAAACTTTGACGAAGATATCTTGACAACCAATTTCGATGAAAAATTTTTTATTTGAATTCTAAGATTAGTAAAATTCAACTAAAAAATTTTCACCAAATTAGGCAGGTGATTGTCGAGATATCTTCGCCCAAAGTTTTTAAAAATAACTCTATTTTGGCACAAATGGCTTCATGCAAGGTTAGGGTCCTAGATCACACGACATAGAGCCAATAAAGTTGTTTGTTTTGATCGACACGGATCAGCCCGAAGAGACAGAAAAAAAGTGAAAACAAGTGTCAAAACCTGTCTCGGAGCATAAATAAAAGGTCCAGAGGATCCTAAAAAGGAAACAGCCGATCAATTAAAATTTTGAAACTTCGATTTAGCGAAAGAAAAAATTTTAATTCTACACATTTATAGATTTAAATAAATAAAAGATCTGTTAAATTTGATATATTTGTCCTTGAGAAATCCGGTAAAAAAATTCAAGTACCTTAAAAATCGATCAAAATTGTTTATTTCAAACTTCAAGCTAAACAAAATCGATAAAAAATTTTTCATTTTAATTCTGCAGTTTATAGAACTAAAAATATTTTTTTTTTTTTTTGATTTGGATTGACAGTTGTCAAGAAATATTCGGGTTAAGTTTAATTTGTTCGATTTTTAGTTTTTTTCTAAGATATTCGAATTTTTTTAAATTTTTACCGAAGATTTCTCGATCGCTGGATTTTATGCTGTTTCCTTTTTTTAGGAGTTCAGGAGTTATACTGCATATTGATTGTTTACACTGACCGACATAACCTGGCACGCATGCTTTCTATTTATTCTGAAACAGATCTCCTGAGTGAATCCTTCTTCAGATTCTAAATTCGATATTCAAGTAGTGATTTGCCTTTTCAGATTCTAAATTCGATATTCAAAGTAGCGAATTTCTTTTTCAGATTCTAAATTTCTATATTTACCATTACTTGGCAATTAAAATAGATATAAAATAATAAAAATGATAGGAAAATAAACAAAAACACGATAAAATAAAAAACGCCGAATTTTTTTCATATCTATGCGAAATGAAATTGTGCAGAGATGCAGTGTTAAACAAAATTTTATTTTTAATACTAACTTTTGAGGTGATCATCAAAAAAATTTTTTTTTTAAAAAACAATAGTCAGCAAACACATGGATTATCAAATCTGCAGATTTTGCAATTGGACTTCTATAACCAACTGGTTAATCGGTTCTAAAAGTACCCTAAAATCAAAGAATCTAACTGATTACTTTTTTCAGAATAAAGATATTGTCAGTTTATTATGTAGCTAAAATTTTAATCTAATGCTTGTGCACAATATTATAATTGATGAGTCTAATGATTGTCCCACCTCAAAAATTGGTTAATACCCATAATGTTAGGGTTCTTTAAAAATCCGGCGATTGCGTACATATTTGATATATAATTTATATTTAAATATTTAAAATATACAGAATATATGTTTCTTCGCATTGAATATACTTTCAAATAAGGGATCGTATAAAGCGGGTAGAATCATGTAATACATAACCAATCAAATTTTAGATTTTGATGATCGCCAGCGAAGCAAAACAAGAAATAAAAACGAAAAATCTGGAAAATACAAAAAATGGCAGTCTAAACCCACCTCGGGTAGGTTAATTAAAAATGTCGGGAAGGCAATTTTGTTTATATGTAACTACCTAAAACCTAAACCTAATATAAGATAATCTTAACCCTAAATATAGATTTTAAGAATCTACTCCACTTTAGACGTCCCAGGAAATCGAAGAACGGTATAGTAATAAATAAGGGTCGGAAAATGCATAAGCATTTTTTGTACATACGGATTTGTTGATTTTTGAGATCAATCATAAGCCACTGATCTAATCAATTTATCAAAAAAAAAAAAATAATTAGCATTAATCATTCGATTATATTTTATTTTGAACTTAAAGTGAAATAATCAATCGGAGAATGCAATTTGTTATCAAATGTCGTACTGTACGTGCGTACATAGTATGAAAAGAGAAATAGTATCCTGAATACTTCTTGCAGAATGTTGCGGAATGTACATATCTATAATACACTCTGTATTCAATTATATGCAAAATACAATCAATTTTAGCATCGACTTGATTTTACTTGAATCAGATTTTAAACTCTAATTGTCCGGAGCGCAGCGGAGGTTCCTATGGTAGAGCAATAGGCCAGTCTTTGTATTGGATTCAGTTAACATTGGTCCCTCAGATTTATTAGTTAAACAAACTAAAAGTATCATGCAAGGACTTTTTTTCTTGTTATAATAATATGCA